GAACGCAGAGGGCAAGGAGGCAGAGGAGCTGAGTCTGCGAGATCATCTTGCCTCCCTAGTGACAGATGCGGAGCGCAGAAGCATGAAGTGTGAAAGTGGCACATTTATATCTACTCTGAACAGTTGGGACTGTCACTAGGGTGGAAATATGCAAAGCAGCTGCTCTGTGTAAATGTCCCTTCCCCTTGCAGATCTAGGGTCATGTATTCTCCACCCCTGTCTGGCAGTGTATCTCTCCTTCCTTGCACAGAATATCCTGGGGGAGAGAATTCCACAGCCTGGGAACAAAAGCTGAGAAGTCCTGTTGTGCGTAATCTTATCTCCATAAGTGGGGGAACGCTGAGCAGTGCCTCCCCAGCTGACGGCAATCCCCAGGCAGGTTCATATGGGAGAAGACGATCCTTCAGATAACCCATATCCAACCCATTTCGGAATTTATAGGTCATGACCAAAACCTTACATTGTGCCCAGAAGCATGCCAGAAGCCAGTGCAGCTGCTGGATCACTGGCATAATGTGCTCCATATAATGAGTATTAGTTAAGACATGAGTAGCTGTATTCTGGACTTGTTGAAGTCTCTGAAGGCTCTTTAGAGGCAGCCCCACATAAAGCACATTACAGTAATCCAGTCGGGATGTAACAAGAGCACGGCTGACTGTGGCCAAGTCATGCTTGTTCAGGAAGGATTGCATCTGGCAGATCAGATGAAGCTGCCCAAAAGCACTTCTGGCCACCGAAGAAATCTGTTTCTCAAATGTTAAAAAAGGGTCCAGGAGGACTTCCGAGCTGTGTAGATACCATGCCACATTCCCAAATATATAGCCTCCTGATCCACAGAACCTCAGTCTTATCTGGATTCAGCTTCCGCTTATATGACTTCAACCATTCCATCAGTGCCTCCAGACACCGGTTTAGATCAGTCACCGGCACACCTGGTTCTGATGTCACAGAGAAATAGAGTTGGGAGTCATTTGCATATTGATGGCAACATCCTCCAAAATTCCGTATGACCTCTCCCAGCAGCTTCATGTAGATATTAAACAGCATAGAGGACAGGACGCATTCTTGTTGGACCTCGTGCCACAATCGCTACGGGGTTGAATAATGTCGCGAGAATCACAGGTCCGATGATAAATACCCAAGGGGGGAAGGACAGAACCAGGTGGACAGTTTTATCAAATAAAAAATATTTATTTATGACAGTGGTGAATTTATAATATTTATTCTAAGATTTTTAATAGACCGTGTTAATAATGAATTTACAGTATTTATTATATTTATTCTACGATTTCTAGTTAAATGTGTCAGATATAAGGATGGGAATGGCAAGGGGAATAGTCTCTAATCTTAAAATATCCAGCTACAGTAATAAAATAACAGTGATAACTACAAACTCTTATGTACTACCCAAAAACAACTACAACACTAAGCTTATACAACAGGAAAAAATCAAATCATACATACCAACTTACACAGCACATGGAACATTTCACAGATATCGGTTTGGTTGCGAAGGCCTTGGTTACGCCCGAGAGTCGGGGGAGGTGGCTGGTCGGTTGATCAGGCCGGCAGCGCTTTGAAGTATACGAGAAGGAACACGCACGGTGGTACGTGTGTTGCGAAGACCTCCTAGAGTGAACTGTGCCATGGGTATTTAACCCCAAATCTGCACATCGCTTTCCTGCGCTTGCATATTACCATATATGGCCCAATGATCACCAAGTGGGGGGTCTGTGTCCCAGGGGTTGGGCCGAAACTGTGCAGGTTTCATGCGACCAGGTAAGCCCCGCAGTTCTCATGCCAAGGTGACGGGTGGGAGAGTCTGAGGCTATTTTCCCCTTTTCACGCCTTCCCTTTTTCTAAAGGCAATGGTATGCAGGAAGGGTGCGGCCGGTTTCTCCCAAGGAGTCAAGAGTGGCCTGGCCAAACTTTTTTACTGGGGGGGGGGGCTTTTTCTTTTCTCTAACAAATAACAGTGTCCTAGCTCCACCTTCTGAAAACATCCCAACATGTAAGACCAGAAACACTGCAGAACAGTGTCTCCAATACCTAACTCCGCCAGGAGTTCCAGAAGGATACCAGGGTCAATGGTATCAAAAGCTGCTGAGAGGCCCAAGAAAATCTCCCCCTGTTCATCTCCTGGCATAGATCGCCTACCAGGGTGACCAAGGCAGTTTCAGTTCTAAACCCTGGCCTAAAGCCAAGTTAATCGTTATGTGAGGCTCTGAAAAATTACCGCAGGTTGCACCTGTATAAACCAGAACTCACTGATCCAGCAAAATCTGTGCTCCGGGACCGTTAATAGCTGCTGTCTGATTCCTTTCCTGCAGTTCCAATCTGAGCTGGTTTCTGCTCTTTCCTCTGTTCTGAAACTGCCCTTGGACTTTTCCTGGTTCAATCTCCTTCCCCATCCTCCTTGGCTTCTCGGCTGCGTTGGATGTGGTCAGTCACACACTCACTACGGAAGTCTTGTGCTCCCTTGGTTTTTGTGGTGCTGCCCTGTCCTTATTCTCCTCCTTCCTTGCTCATTCTTGTGGCATTAAGTTTGGTCATTGTCCTCTCTCCCACTCTGCTGAGGGAACCCCCTGGCGTCTCTCCTTAGCACCCTGCCCCGATGCAAGAAATGTGTTCATACAGTGCCTAGAGCTTTGGTTCTGCACGCGTGGTCCCCAGATCATCAGTGGTCCTTGACTGTCTTGCAGGTGGGCCATGGGCTCAGAGCTCACCCCCATAACAGGGAACCCATGATGGTGCTCCAGGGCCACAGCTCCACTCTCATCAGGTTGGAGCATCCGTGCCAGCTTCCAACTACAGGGGGAGGGCGTCAGTGCCTAGAGCCATGGTTCTGCATGCATGGTCCCCAGATCATCAGTGGTCCGTGACTGTCTTGCAAGTAGGCCATGGGCTCAGGGCTCACCCCCATAGCAGGGAGCCCATGCTGGTGCTCCAGGGCCAGAGCCCCACTCTCATCAGGTTGGAGCATCAGTGCCAGCTTCCAACTACAGGGGGAGGGGAAGCCCCGAGCCTCATGGGCATGGTCCAGCTCATGATGGGAGGTAACAGCTCCATGTGCTGCCACTGCCCTTCCCCTCAGCTGGGCAAACAGCAGCGCAAGAAACTGTTCACCTTGAGGATTTCCCTGATGGATTTCCTGTTGGCTGGAATTATGGCCAATGGGAGAAATGGGGGAGGGAGGCAGTGATTGGGAGTGGCGATGGATGTGGAACCAGGTAAGCACCCCTGCCTCCCCCTCATGCCCAGACCCTCACTACCTCCCATAAAGACCCCTCACCTCAGTCACTCCTTCACCCTCTCTCCCCACACAGCCCCCAACCTCAGCTACTCCTACACTTCCTTTCCCAATAAGATCCACCACCCTCCAACTACTCCTGCCTACTACCTCCCAGACAGATCCCCACACTCAGTTCACTCCTGAATCCTTCCTTTCACCCAGATGCCCAAACCTCAGAATGCTTCTGCACCCAGACTCCAGGCCAGACACTTCTCCCCACCTCCCCCTCACCCATTTTCTCATTGTGGGTGGCTGTTAGCCTGCAGAAAGCTTGAGTGGGGTGGGACATAGAATCATGGAGCTGGAAGAGACCTCAGGAGGTCATCAAGTCCAGCCCCCTGCCCAAAGCAGGACCAACCGCAACTAAATCATCCCAGACAGGAATTTGTCAAGACGAGACTTAAATACCTCTGGGGATGGAGATTCCACACCCTCCCTAGGTAACTTTTTTAATTTTGAAAGAATGCAGCAGCAGTCTAGATGCACATGAAGGTTTTTTTCGGAAAAACCCTGTAGTCTAGACATAGCCTAACTGTGATAATTTATGCACAAGTAGTGTATTACACATTGTTCTGCACCGATGTACTGTGAAATCTGGAAAGACTCTGAGGGAGTCACTGAAACACCGAGTTGTAATGGAAGTAAATTAACCATCAGGGAGGTTTTTGTAGTGGCCTGAATCACTGTGGGAGAGGGAACCTCTTGTCCTGTAGACAATGATAAGTTCCCGTATCATCAGCTTGAAAATTGGTAATTGTCAAAGTGTAGTCCGTGCCAGAGCCACTGCCGCTGAAACGGTCTGGGACCTCAGAATGACGGATGGAAGCAGCATAGACAAGGAGCTTAGGAGGTTGTCCTGATTTCTGTTGGTACCAACCTATCTGCTGGCCGATGCTGGCACTGGCTTTGCAGTTGATGGCGACACTGTCTCCTGGAGATACCAGCAGGGATTCTGGTGTCTGGGTCATGACAGTGTCGCTGCTGGCATCTGTATGTGAAATCAGAGAATGAATCCAGGTGTGTCTGTAGTAGTGCCTGATAGGATAGCATGTTCATTCTCACAGTTTTGCTATAAACCAGGATTGTATTTCATATGAAACAATCTCAGTTCTGTGCTTCGTAGAGACAGAGCATATAAATAAGAATTGGCGTCTGGTTACTAAATCATTCCTCACTTCTATTCAGATGATGTTTTACAGCTTACAGAATCATAGAATACTAGAACTGGAAGGGACCTTGAGAGGTCATCGAGTCCAGCCCTCTGCCCTCATGACAGGACCCAGCACCATCTAGACCATCCCTGTAGATGTCTATCCAACCTGCTCTTAAATATCTCCGGAGATGGAGATTCCACAACCTTCCTAGGCAATTTATTTCAGTGTTTAACCACCCTGACAGTTAGGAACTTTTTCCTAATGCCCAACCTAAACCTCCTTTGCTGCTGTTTAAGTTTATCTCAGAGGCCAACAAGAACAATTTTTCTCTCTCCTCCTTGTGACACTTTAAGCTTATCTCAGAGGCCAATGAGAACAATTGTTCTCTCTCCTCCTTGTGACACCCTTTCAGAAACCAGAAAACTGCTATCATGTCCCTTGTCACTCTTCTCCTTTCCAAACTAAACAAGCCCAGTTCTTTCAGTCCTCCTTCATGGATCATGTTCCCTAGACCTTTAATCATTCTCGTTGCTCTTCTCTGGACCTTCTCCAATTTCTCCACATTTTTCTTTGAATGTGGTGCCTAGAATTGGACACAAGTCTCCAATTGAGGCCTAATCAGCGTAGAGTTGATCGGGATAATGACTTCTCATGTCTTGCTCACAACACTCCTATTAATGCACCCCAGAATCATGTTTGCTTTTTTTGCAACAGCATCACCCATCTCTTTATACATTTTTTATAATTCTATTCCAATACGCTTACCCTTCATACAGAAAACCAGCACGCAGATGAGCAGAGTGTGTGACATCATCTCGAGAGCTCTTGATTGACAGCTGCTGCTCAATGCACCATGAGCTGTCACATGGAGCCGTTATAAAGCCTCTAAGCCACAAGGCAATGGCCATTCAGGCATGGGTATGCAAAATAAGCCTAGCTATGCAAATGTCCCCACCACCTATATGGGGGAAGCTGGATTTGGATGCCTCAAAGCACGGGTACCTGTGATATTGCATTTCCCTCCAGGCCAGATTTCTCAGCTAGACCTGTTGAAATCATTGGGGCTGTTCAGAGAGTAGTGCCCCAGACAATGTGAGGCAGGCTGTCAGAACCTGGCCCTAATGATGACAGTTTTCAGGCTCTGTCATGGGGATGTGGAGACACATTTCATGGAATAGAAAAGGAAAAGGCCCATTTGAAAAGACTCTTGAAGGAGAGTGTTATTTACAGTTAAAAAATCAGTATGAATAAAGAGTTCTGTTTCTCCTCTCTGAGACATCTGCATGGAGCCCTGTGGACTCTGTCACATGTTTGAGCTGAATCCTGGGGCACATAGCTGGATTCCATGGCACTATAGTGATCATTCCATGGCTGTGGCAGGTGCAATTTAAAAAAAAAATTAGTGAGTTATAAATAAAAAATAAACAATGAGGACAGGTCAGCAGTCTCAAGGATACAGCCATCCATACACAGAGCAGAGGAAATACCACGTGACTCACATGACCTCTCATCCAGCATGAAGAACAGATAGTCTGGGGGTTTCAGAGGAGTAGCCATCTGAGTCTGTAATAGGAAAAATTAAAGAAACCAAAAATAGTCTTGCAGCATATTAGAGACTAGCAAAAAATGTGGATGGTATCATGAGCTTTTGTGGGAAAAGCTTGTGTATGATCCATAGTTAAAACCTGTTTGCATTTGGAAAAGACTGAAGAACGTAATAATACATATACATGCACACTCCAACACCACAACAGTCAAAAATATTTCTGGATGAAATTATCCTGAGCAAAGGGCCAGACCAAGGTCTATGAACCATTGAAGCAGTTTTGCGCCTGGGACAATTTTACCTCAAATTTGCAGCAAATAATTTCCCCCCGTGAATAATGTGAGCAGTTCTTGTAAATATGAGGATAGATTTAGGAACTAGCACTAGCAGCACTTTAAGTACATCAGAAGCAAGAAGGTTTCTAAATAATCAGTGGAGTCACAGGATGATCACAGTGCTAAGGAGAAGTCAAGGAAGCTAAGGCTGTGCCGGCGAAGCTAAATGAATTATTTGAATCAGTTTTCACTGCAGAGGAGGAAGAGATTTCTGCAGCTGAACCATTTTTTTAGCTGATAATCTGAGAAGCTGATTAAGGTGAACCAAGCTGATAAATTAAACTCTAGTAAGTCGCCAGGATCCCATGGTATTCACCCAAGAGTTCTGAAGAAACTCAGATATAAAATTGCTGAACTGCTAACTGTGGTATGTAACCAGTCAGTTAAATCAGTTTCTGTACTAGAGGATTGTAACTAAGATGACACCTATTTTTTATAAAAGGTGATCCTGGTAATTATAGGCTGGTAATCTTACCTTCATTCCCTATAGTAAACAATGATCAGAAACACAGATTAACACAATTTGTGGAGGAAGATTTAACACCACTTTTGTAAAGGAAAATCATACATCACCAGTCTATTGGAATTCTTTGAGGGGGATCAACTAAAATGTGGATCCAGTGATAATAGTATATGTGAACTTTCAAAAAGACTTTAACAAGCTCCCTCCACAGACACAGAGATTCTGAACTTGGAATCATTAATTCTTGCCGAGATGAAGCTAAGTTGATAAAGATGGAAAATCAGCAATGGTCATGGGGGTAGCAAAAACGTTAATTGACTAAGGGAAGAATATATGATTCAAGAGCACATCTTTTAAAATGGAACAAGCACCAAGACCATTCAACCATTTCATTTTCATCTGCAGTCATTCAAGCCCTGCAAACATTTACTTCTCACTATAATTAGATTGAATTCCTACTGGTGTGTTTTTTGGAAAATCTGGCATGTAAGGAAACGTGTTTTAGGTGTGTCTCACTGAAATGTGTGATATGTTATGGGTGTCATGCTCAGTACTATGATTAATATGTACATTGGCTTTGAACCATACAACAAGGAGCTTTATCCAGAACAGTTGGATCATCATAAGAAAGCGCCTCATTTTAGTTCTAATTGTTTTTTAGAAGTCTTCATGAACCAAGAGACTCCAAGGGGATTAATGAAATCACTGGAGAATCAAAAGGCCTAGTCTGAAGGCCTTTGTATAGATCAAGGCCATTGAGTTTTAAGAGAGATTGGGAATCAATTGGTGCGGTTTGTGATATAACAGAAATTTGTCTCTGACATATGAGTCTCAAGGGAGGAGACGTAAGAAGGGAAAACTCAGTGGGTTTGTTTACCCCCTGCAGTGATCACTGAAAAGGAAGACAGAAAATTAAGAGCAGGGAATATACCAGATGTAAAACCTTGTGATGTGACACAATATTGTTACGTGTACTTTAGTCAGAAGCCATTCAGACAGAGACTCTGATTTCAAGTGCCATGATGGATGGCTCATGGATGGATTTGGGAAGTGTGTGGATGGGAGACTATGAAAGAAAATGGAGGTGTTGCAGGAAGCAGAGTTGATGGTTTAGGGGTAGAATGCATCTCTGTCCTTCAAGTGTCCCTTAACCTCTGCCTGCCTGAAGTTGGCACTGGACAGCAGGATTCTGTTCATTCCCTCCGAAGCATCTGGCATTGGCCACTGTCAGAGACAGGATACTGGACTAGATGGACCATTGGTCTCACCCAGAGTGATGATAGCTGGTTAAAATGTGCCATACAGATCATTGTTGCAACCAGTGTTTTATGGTTGCAGCAAATCTTGCACAAAGTGGGCCAAGGGAGGTGTCTATGGAAAGCTTATAATTCATAGAATCGTAGAATACTAGAACTGGAAGGGATCCCAAGAGGTCATCAAGTCCAGTCCCCTGCCCTCATGGCAGGACCAAGCACTGTCTAGAACATCCCTAAGAGGTGTCTGTCTAACTTGCTCTTAAATATCTCCAGTGATGGAGATTCCACGATCTTCCTTGGGCAATTTATTTCAGTGTTTAACCACTCTGACCATTAGGAAGTTTTTCCTAATGTCCTACCTAAACCTCCCTTGCTGCACTTTAAGCCCATTGCTTCTTGTCCTATCCCCAGAGGCCAAGGAGAACAATTTTCCTTGCTTGTCCCTATGACACCCTTTTAGATACTTGAAAACCGCTATTATGTCTTCTCTTTTCCAAACTAAACAAGCCCAATTCCTTCAGCCTTGCCTCATAGGTCATGTTTTCCAGACCTTTAATCATTTTTGTTGCTCTTCTCTGGACCTTCTCCAATTTCTCCACCTCTTTCTTGAAATGTGGTGCTGGTTATAATATAAAATTCGCTGGTTATAATTACGCTATTTGCATGCATGTAACTTTTTGGTATGTGAAGTTATGAGCATTGGCCTTGTACTTGTATTTCAAATGTTTGCTCCTGGGAGACACCAAGAGGAGGTTAAGCCTGCCTGTTTTGAAGGCTCTACTCAGGTTGAATAGAATGACTTGACAAATGGGACCTTGGGAGGTACCAAGCCGCATTTGACAAGCTTTCCTGTGAATGTTCAGACAAGCATGGGAGCAATGGCTTCCACCTGTGCAGAACTGAGTCATGCCTGGACCGGGCACTAGCTCATGTGACCAATTCCATCTGTAGCTGTCCTTTTCCACAGCGAGAGCAACGAGATTCCCTCCATACAGATTGGCAATAGCGTGTGTTTTGGGTAAGATCTGACTTGAATATTGATCTGGGAATGTGGCTGCTCCTTTGGAATCAGAAGAACCTTTTTGTTTGACGAGGCTGGTTTTCATAACCTTTCATTGATACCAGGAGTGTTACGGGCGGTGACACCGGAGAACTGGAGTGGCTGAGGGAATTGTTTGTATGACATCTTGCTAGCCAGTGTGGTGAAACAGAAGTTCTCTTTGTGACTGGTTTGGTATGTGCCTTATAGGGGAGGAACCCCAGTCTTGAGTTGTGGCAACATTGTCCCTATGCAGTTTGCCCTGATTTGATGATCTCAGCCATGCCTCCCAGTCCCCCCTTGTTACACCCAGTGTGGCTGTACTTATGTTTTTAGGAGGTGCTCTTTTCTCTGAGTCTATAGTAGATCCATGATCTCCTCTGGCCCTAGAGGGCTGCTCTGCAGGGACCAGGGTTTTAAATGATCAATCAAACTAAAACCAGAAATACTCCAGGTCTTCCAACAACCCACAGCAAGTTTTCCATAGAAGGGATGAATATTGGCACCAGTTTTGGGCCAGAGTTTAAGTCCTGACTACTACAATGCTCCCTGTAGGGATAATGGAATAAAACAATGCAGAATATTATTCTTTGCACTCCAGTGGAGCTGGGTTTCAGTACAGGGTGAACAGATTTCTGTGTGTATGTGTTGATAACTTTGGTAGATATCTAAAATGTCAGGTGTCTTTTGAGTTGCATTCTGGTTTTCGTTTTAATTGATAAAACTCTCCCTCCTGGTCATAGCTATGAGAAACAGTGAGCAGGGATCTCTCTGCTAACAGGCAGGTGTTTGTATTCGTCTGTATCACTGGGAGTGGGAAGAAGCTGTGTTGCTGACAGTAATAATCTCCATCATCTCCAGCTTCAGCACTGCTGATGGTGAGAGTGAAGTCAGTGTCACACCCATGGCTGGGATGGTTGGTAGAATCACAGGCTTTCTCTACACTGCAGAGTTTTTGCACAAGAAGCTTTTCGCAGAACTTCTTGCGCAAAACCGTGTCCACACCTCAAAAGTGCATCCCAAAAGAGATGTGCTTTTGCGCAAGAGAGTGTCTACATATGCCTTTTGCCATTAACAGAAAACCCCTGATTGCCATTAACAGAATGACCATCAGAGCACCTGTGCTTTTTCTGATAGGCTCTTTTTGTGTAAGAAACTCCTGCTGAGCATCCACACATGCCTTTTAGTGCAAGAGCTGTAGCGCAAAAAGGAGTTATTACTTGTGGGAGAGGAATAACTCTACCGGCAAAAGATCTCTGTCTTATTGATTTACTGGTTGTTGGTTTTTTTTGCTCATAAATGTGTGTGAGGTGTGGGTGCTCCACTGTTTTTGTGCATGGTGATGTTACAGCTGTTTCTTACATGTGTAGAGAGCTTTGCAGTCTGAAAGGGGCTACAGAATTGTCTCCAAATGTCAGTTTTTAACTATGGGAAGAATGTTCTGTTCTGTCATTGGCATGAAAGTTTTACATCTCATTATTATTTACTTCTTAGTGTTGCCGGAATTATTATTTTATTACAGACACTGGCATCCAAAGGCTCCATTGAGGAACAGGGCCCTATTGCAGTCAGTGTTATGAATTTCTGGTGAGGGTGAGCAGATTCAAGTATCTGTTCATTGTTGGCTTGGTAGATGTTTGGTGCTATAAATAAAGTCAGGTATATTTTGAGTTACTTCCTGATTTTAACGTGCATTAACTCATAAACGTTAACCTCCTCGTTGCAGCTGTGACAAACAGCAGTGAGCTCTCTCTGTTCACGCGGTGGTTTTTGTATTGGTCTGTATCACTGTGAGCGGGTAGCTCTGGCGTTGCTGACAGTAATAATCTCCAGCATCTTCAGCTACGGCAAGCTCTGGCGTTGCTGGCAGTAATAATCTCCAGCATCTTCAGTTTCTAAGCTGTTGATTGTGAGAGTGAAATCAGTTCCAGACCCACTGCCACTGAACCGGGCTGGGATCCCGGAGGGACGGTTAGTAGAATCGTAGATAAGCAGCTTAGGTGCTTGTCCTGGTTTCTGTTGGTACCAGCCTAAGTAGTTGCTAATGCCGGTACTGGCTTTGCAGTTGATGGTGACTCTGTCTCCAGGAGACGCTGCCAGGGATTCTGGAGTCTGGGTCAGCACAATCTGGCCATAGGAGTCTAGACATGGAAAGAGAATACATGCAATCAGGACATGTCAGTGAAAGTAATTAAAGCTGGAAATCTAAATTAATTTCTTATTAAATCTCTCATTTCACACTGATCTGTAAAACGACTGCAGGATTATTAACCCTAGCTGGCATTGTCTTGCCGATGGCGTCTGTTCCCTGTGGATACAATGCTCACCCTGAATCCAAAGCACTAGTATCCAGAGAAGCTGCACTTGGGAGAGCATCTTGACAGGTCCCAGTGAGGAATGCTAAGCAGCTCACCCTGCAGGGACTAGTTATAAATACTCAGCAGCAAGGGCAAGGAAGTGTCCTACCTGGTGAATATGTAAATGACTTGTTCATATAAATGTGCCGTGTTTGAGTTGCATGTGCACTTCCTTTTATTTTTGGGTAGAGTGACCAGACATCCCTTTTTAAAGGACACTCCCGTATTTAAGCCCTCCTGCAGGTGTCCCGACTTTTTCTTAAAAATTAGCAAATTGTCCCATATTTTCTGTATCCCCCCCAGTCGGCACTGGTGGGTCCCTGCTTGCCAGCTGTCGGCGCACTAGTGGTGAACGGGAGGGTCTGGCGGTGAATGATGGTGATGGGTGTGCAAAGCTGGTAGCAGGGCAAAGCTGCAGGGCTCAGAATCTGTCCAGGCTTGTGTGCCGTCCAGCAGGCCCCTGCTTCCCATCCCTTTTCTGAGTGTGAGCTGGTGCCAGACCATGGCTGATTACTTGTTGCCTCTGCTGCCCACCCATCGATCCTTTACATGCTCCCACTGCTATGTCCCTTCATGCCCCTCCGCCTCACTGCTCCTCCATATCTCCCCTGCAGAATGTGTCCCTTTCCAGGGACCCTCTGTGCCTCCCATGTATTGGTTCAGGAAGACGTGGCTCCAAGTCCCAGGAATGGTGGGCCTGTTTTGGGGACCCAGTAAGGCCAGGACGGTGGAGAGCACCAGATAGGTCAAGTGGTCGCTCACCCACCCCGGGAGAGAGATGTACAAGAGTGAGTGTGCGCGTGCGTGTCCCTTTTCACATAGAAACCCTAAAGCCTTAAAGATCAGAAGGTAAATAAAAATAATCTAGCTGCACAGGATTTCTTTTTAAAAGAGGCTTAGTCAACTTTATGTTAATTTGAATGTTTGTACTGCATGGTTCTGACTGATTGCTGTTGAACTTGTTTGAATACGAGTAATTTAAACAGGTGTCCCATATTCAGGATAGGAAAATATGGTCAATCTAGTTCAGTCTGGAAACTGAAAATTGAGCTGAAAAGTCCATAAAAACAGTCATGAGATTTTTCAGTACTTCCTTGTTTCATTGAGATCAGCTGTAGTGCAAGGACAGCCTTTCTCACAGTTTGCTAGTATTTCCAATTCCTGTTCTGCCTGAAACCAGGAAGTGAAGGGGCACAAGAAATAACCTTACAATAGTTTACAGAACACTTAAAAAACCTCATAAAATGTTTGGGCTTGACTTTGTTTGAGTTTACGGCTAGTTTTATTTTATATCTAGTTTATCCATCCCTCCAAAGAGTAGTTTTCCTATCTTCATTTCATAACCAAATTTTGTCTGAGTATTTTCCATGACCAGAGTGATTCAAATATAATTGAAGTACAATTCTATGGAGAAATTGTAAGAATGTTGATAAATAATATTCCTATTCTTCTCACAGCTCCAGATATGTAATATGCTTCTTATTCTTTGACTGATTCCTAATAGGGTTATTAAGGTCTCTGTTACTCTTTAAATCTAGGTCACCTGTCCTGCTGCAGACAGAGGACAGGATCCTGCAAACCCTTGCCCACAGGAGTTGTCCTCATGTAAGTAAGGAAAACTGGTGTGAATCAGGAGTTTCAGGACTGGATTTCTATTACAATTAGTGCAAAAGAAACAATATTTTAAGAGCAGTAGTGCCTAAAGTTTGCTTTATTCTTCCCTTCTTTGACCCTGTACTTTACTGAAATACTTCATATGTCTTAGAATAAACCCGTTTTGGGGAGTCAATCATTGTTTCAAAGATCCCAAAGAATGAGGGCAAAATATTAACTTTACTCATAAGCATTAGCACAAACATATTTGATTGCTTGATTTATGCCCTACTATTTCTATCTGAGACTGTAGCTATTTACATATCGTAACAAAGGGGAGTCAATCATTGTTTCAAAGATCCCAAAGAATGAGGGCAAAATATTAACTTTACTCATAAGCATTAGCACAAACATATTTGATTGCTTGATTTATGCCCTACTATTTCTATCTGAGACTGTAGCTATTTACATATCGTAACAAAGATTTTAAAGGATAGGTGAGACAAACACTTGTCAGAAAAGGTATAGGGATATTTAATCCTGCCTCAGCATGGGGGGGATGGATTGGATGACCTCTTACGGGGTCCCTTTTAGCCAACATTTCTGTGCTACTGAGCAAGTCGATATACTCACAGTTCCACTCTTATCCCAGAAATCCTCTCAGACATGAGGATTTGTTTACATTCAAGCTGGAAGGTGTAATTTCCAGCTCAAGGAGACATAACTGCACTCACTAGCACACTAAAAATAGAATATAGGCATGGGAGGGGCTAGCTGCACCGTGTACACACCCAGTATCTCAGACAGTACTGCACTCATGCTACCATGGTTACTCTGTATTTTTTTTTCTTGTGAACACCTGCCTCTGAGACATATGTTGACACCACTGTCTTATTTCATATGGTCCCCAAACAGTCATGAAAAATTTTGGCCAGTACTATACTAGGCCAGATTTTAAGCAGCGCCATAGATATGAAACATTTCATAGCACATTACCAGTCTCTTGACTCTTCTCGTGTTCATACTTTGAGTATTAACGATCATGAGCTATGGACATGTCTACAAAGTAAAAACTGCACGGGCTAGCATAAATGCACCCAGAATGGATAGCAGTAATGGTGAAGACAGCACAACATGGGCTTCAGCATGAGTACTACAAGCCCAGCATAGACCCTGGTTATGTACTTGATTCATTAACTAGCTCTGAAGACTGTGTCATCTTCACTGTTTTTGATACCTACACTACCTGGTTTCAAGTTAGCTCAGGTAGGCTAGATGATGCACAGATTTTGCTGCAAAGACATGCCCTTAACCTACCCCCTTGTCTTTTTCTCCAACTATCTGGGCTTATCTCCATTAAAATAGAATATTTTTTAGAGCAGGTCAAAAATTTTCTGGCAAAATTATTTTGATGGAGAATGTAGTTTCCACACAGTCAACTTTGGTTTTCTATTTCACAGCAGTTGAATCTAAATTAAAATAGCTCAGTTTGCTTCACCTCAATTTCAGTCAGTTAAATATTAAAATTCATTTCCTTATTCCTCAAATATTGCTACATGTGAGTTGTCACTGTTGTGTTTCATACCCACATTCGCTCTTGTGGGCTAGGCTTGCCTGTCAGGCTACATCTCACATGATGAAGCCACATGATGCTTCTGAGAATCATTTGGTTGCAGGTTAACAAACAAAACATTTGAATTCAAGGCATATTAAAATATTTTGCTTTGATCAAAAACACTAAAATGAAACATTTTGTCATTTTCAAATTGATTTTTTTAAACTTTTCATTTAATGAAAAAGGAAAGTATTTCAATAATTTATTCCAATCCAAGATGAAAAAATGTTAAAATATCACAATTTCCTGCAATATGGAAATTCTGATTTTTGCTACAATTATAAAAAGATGTTTCCCTCTTTATCTGTAAAAGTTAAATCTATATATCCATTGTATTGTCCTGGGGATTTTCCTATGACTGTTTACTGGTTTCTTGTTTAAAAGTAATTTTGTAATCACAGTAAGACACAGCAGTAAGATGTGTATTTGTGATCTGATGACACAAGTCTGCTTCCACTGAAAAGAGTGGGAGTTTCATTGTTGGCTTCCTTAAATTAATATCAAGGGTATGAAAGCAAAGCCACTGGGCATATGGCTAAGTATCTCCCAATAAACCACATCCTGCTGTGCATTTTTGCTTACGTGCATCATGAATAATGACTTTATAATGGTGTTAAGAGTTGGCCACAGCCCTGTCATCTTATAACAAAGAACTTTTTAAAGAGGAAGCACTTTTACTTTACTTGTGATTTGATCTGGATTTTAACCAAGCTTCATACAGAGAGGGAAGACAAGTATGCTACACAACTTTCTTAAGGTATATTCCATCTTCTGATATGCTACTGAGAAGATAGTGAAGATTTTTTTTAATTTTTAAGGGTGATCCCTTTGTTTAAGCAAAATATTTCACAAATGCTTGTGTGAAATAGAACTATGTGAGGGGGGGTTCATTCAGAAAAAAAGACTGATATGTTACAAGCAAATATATTCAGGGGAAGTAATTAAATTGTGTAATATCTGCTTTGTAAAAACAATTGCAAAGTTCCCCTATAAGTTCTGTTCCTCAGCCAGCAGCAAATGCCTGGAACGAACTGTGTGGGATTCCTTTGGTTTTGATGTTTCTCTCTTTCTCACCACTAATTGGGAACTACCCCATATTGCAGCAGAAACAGGGAACTAGAAACTCACCAACTCACCATAAAATGATCAGGAGGTTAAAGTAAAGCCCTTGAACTTCCTAGAGGTTGAAATGAAGTTGCATGGTTCTAAAGAATGGAATTTCAATAAATTAAAGAAAAGCACTTGTACATTAAACCAATTTTTCAGGGGTAAAGACAGCTATCTTGACCTACAATCTCATTTAAGTTAAAATAGAGGGAAATCCCTTCAGTTTTACATTGATAGATCATTTTTAAATGGTCTTTACAATTATTATATATCATGGGATATCTTAGGATTGTTTTTTGCTAAATAAAAGTAATACCATTATCTCCAAAATAATTCTTCTTTTTCTTTTTTATAAGTTTGAAAGCTATACGGGATCTGCTTTATTCATGACATTAAATCCTTGATAATACCCTTTTTTTCCTGCAGTAGCAGTGAGGAATAAAAGAGGTACAAGGGAGATTGCTAGTTTTTAGTCTTCAATACGTAAATCTGTTTCAGCTGAAAATTCCTCCTTGGGTGATGGGGGTCTCCTGCAAAAGATTACTTTTGAAGTAAATTATATCTAACCTTGTACTGATAGAAATGTAGCCGTGTTAGTCTGGGGTAGGAGTTGCATGTGCACTTCCTTTTATTTTTGGGTAGAGTGACCAGACATCCCTTTTTAAAGGACACTCCCGTATTTAAGCCCTCCTGCAGGTGTCCCGACTTTTTAA